GGCTGACATATAGCTTTTGTTAAGAAAAAATGTAGCGGCTATAAAGATGCTAAGATAAAGTCATATTCAGCAAGAGCATCTGCAGGAATCCTTACAGAGGAATAGGCACCTTGAGGTAGATCCAACAGATACATTCCATTAGTAGAAGTGCTTTGGTCCGATGGAAAAATCCTTCCCCTTATACAAGAATACTTCAAATGCTTTACATAGGTATATGTGGGCAGGTAAGCTTGTACATTTTTTTTGGAGGGCAAACTAGGGTTGCCAATTCTGGCTTCAGAAATTCTTGGAGTATAGGGGGCAGAATCTGGGGAGAGTCACACTGGAGTCCTTGGGGTGGCTGCTGTTGAATAGTAGTAAGGAGCCAGGCATGGGTGTGTCATGAAAGTCACATAGGTTGCTGGTGGTTGCTACCAGGCCTGACTGCAATGAATCCTCCCTCAAGGATCACAAAAGCCTTGGAAAGGGCCCTCCCCTTTTACCAACAGAAACCAAGGCTTGAAGGCTGGTAGTACTGATGTGGTTGCCTAGCAGTAGCCACTGGGGGCATCATTTTATAATTTGGGAGGAGTTAATCCCCCTGTTGTTTTTCAGATTTTTCTGCAAACATGGGGCTTTTCTCAGGTTTGTAGAAAGATCAGTCATGTCTGTCTATGAACACAGACACAGTCTGTGGATATAAATATCCACAGATGAGGCCATGTTGAGAATGAGATACACTGATGTTTCCTCTCGCATGATAAACACAATAAAGCTATATTACATTGAGCAGGGGTCATTTCGTAGAAAAAGAGCTAGGGGGACTCATTAGCATAACTCATTAGCATATGCCACACCCCCTGACATCAACGGAAGTGTGTCCTCCCCACAGCCGGCGGCGACCTCCAGCGGGCACCAGCAGGGAGCTCCAGGCCCCGCCCTCCCGCACCTCACCCGGGGGGATGGCATCCCCCCGCGTCCCCCCCCCAAATGACCCCTGACATTGAGTCAGGCCACTGGATCTGTCAAGATCTGTATTATCAACTCTGACTGGCAGCAGGCAACTTGTGGCAACCATGGAAAAAGACTTGCTTGTGTTGATTCCCACTTGCTACCACCCCGTGGCAAGGTGGGCACATCAGTGTACTACATACAGGTTCAGTGTACAACCCTTGCTTTGCGTGCTTCTTTTGCATCATCTTACGTATTGAAGAGGCAGAATGGGATGTTAAAACAACTCAGGAGCAAGCTAAACCAAGTGGTCTCTGCTAATTAGGACCCAGTTAAGCAACCCCTGTTGTGTTGGCAGCACCACTTGGGTTTGACTGGTTTTGCATCTATTTGCCCATGACTTTCCAGGCCAAAGGCCCATCGGGACCTTTTGCTGGTAAGTTAGAAGGCCAGTCTACCTTGGAAAAATGTAAGACGACCCCATAGGATGCCAGATCTGGGGAAATCACCTGGGACCCCTTTGCCAGCAGTGAGCATGGTTTTGTGGTTCCCATCACCCTTACTATGGTGCTGAATAAAACTGGTAAAGGACAGGAGTCGGACCTTCTATATAAATGTACTCCTTATCTTAAATGTACCTCTTTCAGCAAATGGAGCTGTCAATATTTTTAAAGGTGCCCCCCCTTTCCCCCCCCTTACTGGCACAAATTAATTATTAAACATAGCTGGTATGCTCTTTTCATCATGATGGGATCTTCAGTGAAATGGAAAAAAAAATTCAATTAAGCCTGGTGGTGCTTCTGTGGAATAGGTAAAAGCCTCTATTATTATTGCATTACATTGTTTTGCAAAAACCAGACATGGAGCGATTGGGGCGCACGGTAGTTGGCAGTCACCTTCCAGCAATCAGCAGGAAGCAGGAAGTTACTAGGTCTTCTAGAAACTGTGTGCAAAACCAGAAAAGTTCTTCTCCGTGAGGCTAATGAAATGAGCTAGATTTTCGTGGAAAGGAGGTACCCTCGAAGTTCTTGAACAGCTATTATACAAAGAGAGTTCTAATGTTTTTTTTATTAATCCATCTGTCTGTTAATCAGCTGCATTTATAGGGAGCCTTTCCACTTTTAAGTTCCCATCGACCGGTGGAACAAGGTTAAAATAAAAAGCACATTAAAAATAATACCAGCAGTCAATGCAATAATAACCATCAGTGCCTTGAAACCATCAGGAAATGACAGACAAAATAGAGGCAGAGATCAATACCTTAGAAGATTTGGCAGAACCTGTTCTATTAAAAACAAAAATAGTGGCACTGTCACATCTCCCTCCTGAAGGGAGTACCACACAGTGGGAGCAGCCATTGTAAAAGTACCACTAGAACACATGTTGACTCTTCCTGACGGATGAGTACTGCTTATTGTTAGATCTCAGAGTCGGGGGGGGGGGTGTGTGTGCAGGGTGGGGGGGGGGGGGGGGAGATCATTGTAAACCAGAAAACATTCCCTTGATTACTTGTGACCCCAGCCTGTCTAAGGCTATGAAGTTGAAAATCAGTGTCTTGTTTGTTACTGTCCTGGCTGCTGACACACAGTAAGCACAGAGTTAGTTTCTCATACATCAGGGTTGGTCAAAATACAGCCCTGAGGTTCCGGCTGAAGGGGGATCCAAGAGCAAGGTTTCCATGATACAGGCCCAGGTCAGAGACAAAGAAAGCTATCCAGAATACAGGCAACCAGGACAGTAGCTAACAGACAAGTTGCTTCCAAACATCTACTCCCTTCTCTGTTGCGTTTAAGCCCCGTGCTGCTAAGCACCTGTGTTGCATCGTGTACCTGCCAGCTCCCTCAGTCCTGCTTCTGCGAGCACTCATCCTTGTTAAAGCTGGGCTGGTGCTGTGCTGCTAGACGGGCACTGTGCCTTCTGGCTTGAAGGTCTCACCTAACCTTCTTCCAACAACATTCCCAAGGCTCTGGTGGTGGTGGGCAGGGGGAACTGATTGGCCACTGGCTCTCTGTTGCTGGCCCAGGGTTGGGAAGCTGAGGGGCCAGAGTACTGATTCCTGGCTGAGAATCCACATCTGGCCCTCCTCTGGCAGTACCTCTGTCACTGGCTGTGGGCTTGGGTCAGGTACGCTGACCCTCTCTTCCTTCGAGGAGTTCTCCACATCCCTTTGATCTGTTGAGCTTGGCTGGCCCACAACAGTTGCCTGGAAGCACACTGGGTTAGATCCTGGAGCTCCATCCCACTAACAGTGGTACTTTCCGCCAGTGCATCAGCAGAAGGTTCCTTGTGCCGGAAGAAAGCACTTCAGCAGAATAAACCCACAGGATCCTGCTGAGCTTGTGGGACTCTTGTGAAATGTGATCCAAGGGGAAATTTCAGGCTGCTTCTTCACTTTCAGCACTGGAAGCCTGCAAATGAATGAAGGACTGAGTGAGGCTCAAAGGCTATTTGCTTTAAGGGGAACTGATGCTGCCTTGCAGATAGGTGCCATGTGCCTGGATTCTTGTCTGCTCCTCCGTAAACCTCTCCCCACAAGGAAAGGGAGCCTGTAAAAGGATGTCTGTGGAATTTTCTCCTGCTAAGGGGATTTCCATTACCATTAAAGTAGTACAACACCCTGACCTAGATGGCCCAGGCTAGCCTGATCTTATCAGATCTTGGAAGTTAAAGCAGGGTCAGCCTTGGTTAGTATTTGAATGGGAGACCACCAAGGAATTTCAGAGTGGGTATGCAGAGGAAAGCAATGACAAACCACCTCTGAACCTCTCTTACCTTGAAAACCCTATGAGGTCACCATGAGTTGCGACTTGACGGCACGCTCATAAATACAGTTGTGCAACTGTGGCATGTGATGAGACCGCTCCAGCGTACTTCCAGCTATTCAAACACTGTCCAGATGTAACTGCAATTTGTGGATATGAACTCATTTTCAGTCAGCTTTCCTCCTTGCTACTTGGTTTCACTTCAAAGCCTTTAAAATTCCAGGATTGCTTAAGGATTGCTTAAGGCAGGGATGTCAAATATGTGGCCCGGGAGCTGGATCAGGCCCCTGGAGGGCTTCTATCAGGCCCACAGTGGAGCTGTCTGTCTTCTTCTTCTCCTTCTTCTTCCAGTGCTGCTGCTGCTGTGTCATCGTAGGTTTGCAGCTTACAGATACACACCTGAACAGCATACTCAAGATTGCAACAGCACAGACATTTTGATGCAATAATTCAGAGCAAGAGGTGTCAGTTATCAGACACTGTTAAATAAACAAAATATTGCAAGAGTGCGAATGTTTTAAGCATGTTTTTATTTTAAGTAAAAAAAACACGTTTCTGTCCTTTATAAAGTTTATATCTCCGCTACCTGGCATTACATTTTATGACACACATGGCCCGACCGAAGAAGGCCTCAATTATGTCAGATCTGGCCCTCATAACAAATGAGTTCAGTACCCCTGGCTTAAGGATTACTCTCTCCCATATGAACCCCCATCCCCATGTACTAAGACTTTTGTTGGAGGCTGTGAAGTGGTTTTATGGAACAGGGTCATGCCAGCAAGACTCTGTCATTGTGTTCCAAGAGAGGAGCATGTTGTTCCATCTCCCTTTGTCTGTCAAGCTAAGTTGGTACCTTTTTAGAGAGCTTTAGGTGTTTTATTGATTGATTGCTTTCAGGTTATGTCAAATACTGTTAGTGATGTTCCTGCTGATTCTCTTAGTTCTATTCATTTTAGTTGCTGTGTAATTGGTCCCCCCTGGTTCTTTTTTTGCTATGATTTATGGATTTTTAAATTATTGCAAATGATCTTATAGATGCATATGAATGAAAAGACAGGGTATATATCTATGCTAATAATGAAACAGAAATATGCAAGTGATTGGAGGAGCATCAGGCATGCATGCCATAGGATGGTGTCTTCTAGCAAGAACTCCAGTGCAGTTTTTTTAAAAAAAATCAGACGTTAAAAGGCTGTTGCTAATATGCAGAAATATCTTAGTTAATAACTCTGCTGTTTGTCCTTTTGCATCTTCCAGTGCTGCATATGATGCTGTTCTCGACAGAAATGTGGCCATCAAGAAGCTCAGCAGGCCGTTTCAAAATCAAACGCACGCTAAGCGAGCTTACAGGGAGCTAGTCCTCATGAAGTGTGTGAACCACAAAAATGTAAGTTTCTTTTTCGTGGGGGGAATTGAGAAAGTGGGTACATTTGACATGGGTAAGAGAGAAAATGATTAAGGAGGGGGGAATTGTTATGCCTTTAGGAAATATTTCCCATATGTAGCTACCATATACTGAATCAGACCATACTGAATCAGAATTGTTATGCCTTTAGGAAATATTTCCCATATGTAGCTACCATATACTGAATCAGACCATTGGTCCATCAAGGTCAGTAATATCTACTGAGACTGGCAGCAGCTCTCCAGGTCTCAGACAAAGGTCTTTCACATCACTTTCTGTCTGGCCCTTTTAACTGGAGATGCCAGGAATTGAAGCTGGGACCTTCCATATGCAAAACAGAGAAGAGAGAGAGAAGAGAGAAGAAATTGGATTTATATCCCACCCTTCATTACTTGAAGGAGTCTCAGAGCAGTTTACAATTTCCTTCCCCTTCCCCTCCCCACAACAGACACTCTGGGAGGTAGGTGGGGCTGAGAGAGCTCTTTCGAGGACTGCTCTTGAGAGAACACCTCTGAGAAAACTGTGACTGACCCAAGGTCACACCAGCAGCTGCATATGGAGGAGTGGGGAATCAAACCCAGTTCTCCCATATTAGAGTCCGCACTGCTAACTTCACCAAACTGGCTCTCTCCCCTGAGCCACAGCCCCTCCCCATACCATTTGAGTTATTTTAAAGGAAGGACCATAACTTGCAGGCCAGCATCAAAGGTAGGCAACAGTCAGGTACAGGACGTGCTGTGGCCCACAAAATCTCTAAGGCCTCTGGTGGGGGAGATACAGCCATTCTTCTTTGGAGAGATTATGGAGGGAACAGAGAAGCAAGTGATTCATTGTGTCTCTCCAGCATCAGCCCCAGAGAGAGCAGAAGGTACTGTGGGGGACAATAACATAGAGGAGGATGAGGTATTGGTGGTACACTTAGTGGGGAGCCATGTAGGGCATCTTTCCTGGCCAGGCACCTGCTTTCAGACACTGTGGTAAAATGGGATTTGACTGAACTTGCAGGGCTCTTTTTGTAGAAAAAGCCCAGAAGGAACTCATTAGCATAATAGGCCACACCCAACAGCAGAAACTCATTAGCATATTAGGCCACACCCCTGATAGCGCATCATATTAACATATTAGGCCACACACCCATGTTGCCAGAAGTGTGGTCATCCAGCCACACCCACCTTTTGCTTCTTATTTTGTTTACCTTGTTGTCAAAACGGTCCAGGGCTTTTTTTGTAGCAGGAACCCTTTGCATGTTAGGCCAGACACCCCAGTGTAGCCAATCCGAATGAGTTTCTGCTGTTGGGTGTGGCCTGTTATGTTAATGAGTTCCTGCTGGGTGTGGCCAACTTGAGAGCCAGTCGGAACTCCGTTCCTGTGCATTCCTGCCCAAAAATAGCCCTGATGATGATGATTAAAATTTAAAGACCCCCCCCCCCCAAAGGGCTCAGGGCAGTGTACATCATGATAAAAAACATACAGCTGTTAAAATACAATAAAACAGGAAAACAGGAACTTAATAACATAAAACCAGTAACATCTTCCAGAAATGATGGCATAGCAGTTTCCACTCCTTCCACGGGCAGATCATAGGCTGGGCCTGGGGGAGGCCATAGCAGAGTGATAATACCAAGCTGTTGCTGTCCTGCAAAAAGGGTCACCTCACTCTGCAGACTGTGAGAATGACGTCATTGCAAGGGGGAGACTTTCTCCACGAACAAAGCTAGTTCCTTCTCTTCTCGTCTCTTTCGGACTCACAGGGTGAGACGTCACTTCTGGTGACATGCCCCCCCAGTGCCCCCCACCCCAAATCATCTAGCTATGGAGCTGCCTGGAGGTATGTTGGTCCCAGACCATATAGGGCTTTGAAGGTCAAAACCAGCACCTTGGATCTGATCTGGTCTTCAATTCAGAGCCAGTGCAGTTGGCCACACACTGGTTGAATAGGGACTCTCTTTGGAGTTCCAGTGAGGATTCGCGCCGCTGCATTCTGGACTAGTTGAAGCTTCCGGGTCAGCCTCAAGGGTAGCCCCCTAGGTAGAGTAAATTACAGTTATCTAATCTGGAGGTGGCCAGGCATAAAGAGGCCGAACTCAGTCCAGATGACGGTTTTCAACCAACGGCAGCTTTGCTCCCATCACTATGCCAAGCAACTCTTAACAAAGTTCAAAACTTTCAGGGAAAACTTAGGGAGGAATGCAAAACACAAGATGAACTGGAAAAAACACACAAGTAAAAGCTGTCCAATTAATGGCATCTGGCCAATAGCTTCCCTGCTCCTACAGCAACCCCAGCCACTTGGCAGCAAGTTCTTAGAGCTCTCGGGTCTCAGAAAAGTGAATAGCAAACTCCCAGAAGGACTAGAAATAGGCATTAGTAAGCTGAAGCAGTCTGAAGATAGTATCTTGTTAATATTTTGCAAACGCAGAGCTCAAGGAAAAGTGTCTGCTTTCCTGGCCACCACCTTGGATTCTTACCCCTTTTCCAAAGCAGATGTCTGGCAGAGGGCAAAAGCTTCTCCACGTTTTTTGTCTGCTGACGAGAAGAAAGTGAGTTACAACTGAGCCCCATTCAGCATATTTGATTGTGCTGTCGCTATGGAGATCCTCTCTTATTTAAATCCCACGTAGAGTGGAAAACCAATTCAGTTTCCTTTCTCTTGTGCAACAATAGAGCGATTGTGCTCTGGTTATCCTGTACTCAGCTACACAACTGGAATATGCTTATGCTGGATAATGCTTATGCTTATATGAATGGGATCAGGATTAAGTTCAAGGTCAGGACTTACTCATGTGGGGTAAAACAAGACAAGGGGAGAACTGTGCCTCCATTTTCTAAAAGCAGTTGTCTATCACATTCTCCTGGGAGCCTTTTCTTTGTTTACAACAGGGGTCATTTCGTAGAAAAAGAGCTAGGGGAACTCATTAGCATAACTCATTAGC